ACAAATTTATTTTAGTAATCGTTTATAATATGGGAAATGTTTGACGTTGATCTTTCTGCAAATGTATAACTATAAAAAGAACACACGGTTTATGAACAAAAGGAGAAAATAATTGATTATAATATCTATTGTACGTATTCCGCACACAAAATTCTTTCTTTCTCTAGACGTATATATTTGAATAAATCTTTATCTATGCTTATAATCAGATGCCTATGCAGTATCAAAATGAGATTAATCTATGTAACTTTTCCGCTAATTTTTACTTTTTTCTCAAGACAACATGATTGACATAGATTAATTAATCCATTTTACGTTCATATAAAGCAATAAGGGTTGAGTTTTTATTTTGTATAAAAAATGTTTAACTTTAAAATGTCCTATCTATCTATGAAATACTCTAGATACTTCATAATTTACTGGAATTCTATGTGTCATGAGAAAAGCAGTCTGAAATCATTTTTTTTCATACAAATTCTATCCTTTTGGTTAACATTGTAAGCACTTTTTCATTCCAAACGGAAACTATTGTGTACTCAATAAATGTGGAAACCTCGGATTTAAATCCGAGATTTATGTGTTCTTCAAAAAGTGAATGAGACAAATCGGTCATTCTAGAGTGTGTGGATACAGAAAGTAGCCTGACTAACTCTTTCTAAAAACACTTGAATTCTATTGGCTACTACTCAACTAATAGGAGTTCGGGGTAAATACAACTCACAAGGAAAGGACCCTAGGTGTTCAAACCGTATAGAGCCCATTTTTTGGCCATAATTAGATCTCAACGAGATATGAAAGACCTGTGAAGGATTCATTCCCTCGTGCCTTTATTCCTAAGGTATTGAATTATCAAGATATTGTATAAACAAACGAGAATATAACGATCGGTGCCTTTTTTGTAAGAAAAGAGAAACATCAACGACTGAAGTTTTTTTCAATATTATGTGCTCTTTGTTCGATTTTTTTTAGTTTGAAAGCTGAATATAATCCTATCTATAAAGATTCTATTTGTTATTCATGAGTCCAAACAGTACACAAAATTCTCATTTTCTCTTTGACATCATTTTAAAGCATCATTATCTTTCTATACAGAATTAATGAAAGTGATAGTTCAAGAAGTGAGTGAAACACAGTGATTTATCACATTGGCTGCAGGCAATGAAAGGCATCACATCACAGGACACAGCAATTCACATCGCAAAGTTCGGTAAGAAACACACTTCGGGCACTGTTTTGAAATGTCGTAGATCGGTATGTGTATAACCGCTGGTGTAACAACTGTATTTGAATCGTTCGATGAAAAATCTCGGATGATAAATGATTGTGATTCCGAGATATGAGACGAATGATATTATTTCGCTCGTTCATGTTGAGGATGTGAGATGTAGATGTGATTGCGGGCTTGCATGTGCATGTGGGTAGAAGTAAGGAAGAGATCCACAACTACACCCACCCACGTCCCTTTGTGTACTATTTGGGATCATGAATAAAGAATAGAATCTTTATTGACACGATTATATTTAGCTCTCAAACTAAAACAAATCGAACAAAGAGCACATAATATTGAAAAAAACTTCAGTCGTTGATGTTTCTCTTTTCTTACAAAAAAAGGCATCAATCATTATATTCTCGTTTGTATATACGATATCTTGAAAATTCAATACCTTAGGAATAAAGGCACGAGGAAATGGCTTCTTCTCAGGTCTTTCATATCTCATTGAGATCTAATTATAGTCAAAAAATGGGCTCTATACGGCTTGAACACCTGGGAACATTTCCTTGTCAGATTCGGACTCTTCGCCTTGATTTATCCTAAAAAAGTCGTTTTTCCTATAACTTGATTACTATTGGTCAGTGCTCAACCAATGGAGCTTCGAGTCAAGCGGATTATAGATTCGAGTTCTCCGTCTCAGAAAACCTCGAAATGTTATCTCTGCGATTGAAAGATAGAGCTCTACTTGTGGATCGATTAGAGCGTGCACAAAAACAGAGCCGATTTCCGCTTATTTATCTTTGCAATAGGTGAGCTAGCCCTCTTGTTTCTTAATGTTTTATATACCATTTTGTAGCTTGTGAAATTCTTCTCTATCGAATGGTATATAATAGTTGAAGTTTTATTTGATTATGATAGGGAAAGTCTTTTACGAAAGTGGGAATAGGCCGATTTTCCGTTAGGAAGCCATAGGGGAAAATGAGTATTTTTGCAATAACTCAGAAACGGTTCGGCCAATCCTTCTTATCTTCGAATTCAACCGAGATAATGTTGAGACTAAACTGTGTAGAAAATTTCATCATGATCGCGCTCCCCTTTCAAACGTTATCGTGTAAACGGCCGGCTGGACACACTGACCGATTCTAGTGTACTCACTTTTTTAGTACACAAAAATAAAACATGATTGATAGTTTCATTACTTTTATTTTTTCATTGATAAATTCATCCTATCAAATGATATTCATATTATTAAGTGCCTCGGTAAGAAATATGGCCGAGATATAGTGAAAGAGATGAGGAAATTAGAGAATATTACTACAAAATTAATAAAAACAAAATGTGATGAAGAATTTCTTCTTATATGTCTTATTTATCATCTTATTCCAAAGTTCGTCCGGTTCAAACTTTGGAACACCAGATATATGAAATATAATATCTATTATCAACATCAACGTACATATTTACAATTAGAGTACTATCAAAAAATCGAAAAATTCCTTAAAACAGCAACGAGAAGTATAATCTTCAATTAAATCTATGAAGAATAAGATCAATTTAATAGAATATGAATTGTAAAATAAACGTCTGAACGGATTAAAACCAGATAAAAGAATAGAAATAAGATGAGCACACAAAATAAAAATTGAAAAGCTATCAAAAGGTGATGTGAAATTAGACATAATTGATCCAAAACAGGTTGTTCATAATATCTCTTCGAGACCATTAACTGAAGATGAAGAATTAATTTTTGCTAAAGGAATTCAGATTTGTATTCAAACAAAAATTAAAAACTCAATTGAATTTAAAACTGAAATAGAGATGATGGCGTTCAGTACATTAGAACAATTACATAAATCAGATGAAACATCCTTGAACAGTAGTCTTACTGAATGTATACAACGAGCAGTAAATCAAGCATTGAAAATAAATAAAGATAAGAAAATAATTAATATTAATAAGAATGAACTTATAGCTTTAAAGCAGTTGATAAAAGATCAAAATATCGTAATTATGAAAGCTGATAAGGAATCGACATGTGTCATCATGGACAAAGACTATTGTAAATCGAAAGTGATGGAATTATTATCAACAAGAACTGCATTTAAGAAGATGAATGAATTAGATGAAAGAGAGAAATCAAACACTATTGAACATGTGGTGAAGAAAATGTTAAAATAGGCAAAAAAGTTATTAACAGAAGATTATGATTATATTCACTGTACAGGATCAAGATGTTCAGTATTATTTTGTAATCCTAAGATCCATAAAGAAGTGATGCCATTAAGATCTATTATCTCAACTATCAATAGTTATAATTATAAATTAGCAAAATATTTAATTAAATTAGAGGGAGATGCTCGAGAAAAACCAAAATCTTATGTAAAAGACTCCTTTTCATTTGCTCGACTTATCCAACCAAAATAACCAGTCATGAATGGTATAATGATAAGTCTAGATGTTGAATCCTTGTTTACTTATGTACCAGTATATGAAACTATAGAATTAGCTATCAAGATCATTATGGATAAAAAGAAAATTAATCAAACCATACTAAATTGACAGCAAACGATTTAAGAGAGTTATTTCAATTAGCCCTAACAAGTACATCATTTAGATTTTACGATCAAGTATATATGCAAATAGACGGAGTCAGTATGGGCTCACCACTGGCTCCGATACTTGTTGATATATTTATGACTTACATTGAACAACAGATAGAACAAAATGAGCATTCATACAAAATAAAATTATACTTAAGATACGTTGATGACACATTCATCATCTTTAATAGAAAGGAAAAAGATGCTCAACAATTAGTTCAATTTGTTAATAAACTCCATTCCAAAATAAAATTTACATGTGAAGTAGAAAATAATTTCGAATTATCATTTCTTGATGTGAAAGTTATAAAACGGCAAACGAAATTTGAAACGACAATATTCAGAAAGAAAACAAGTACTGGTCAACTATTACATTGGTAATCATGCCAAGCAAAGAAATATACGATTGGTTTAATTAAGACATTAACATTTCAAGCATTGAGTATTTGTTCCTCTAGACCATGGTCAGAAGAACAATGTGAACTAATTGAGAAAACATTGCTCCGCAACGGATATCCAGTTGAGTTAGTCAAAAGAAAAATTAAAAATACTATCGAACAATATTATAATAATAGATCAATAAAATAAAACAAAATGAAAACAGAAGAAAATAAGCTATTTATATCACTCACTTATTATGGTGACGAAACAATCATCATGTCAAATAAAATAAAAAATAAAATAAAATCATTATTTCCAACGATTGAGGTTATTTTTAGGTATAAGAAAGGAATAACATCAGAAAAATTATTCACGAAAAATTTTAAAGAAAAAGATCCAATGGAAATTGGAGTTGTTTACAAACTTACATGTAAAACATGTGATCAAGTATATATTGGTCAAACAAAACTAGCTGTAAAGGATCGAATGAAACAACATAAAGAAGGATTACGTAAACTTGAAACATCAAGAGCTGCAGACCATATGATTAAGAACAAAAATCATGTGATCGATTTTAGTAAACCAGAGATCATTGGTAGAGATGCACATGAAAAAACGACGTGAAATCATTCCCATTCTTTGCTCGGTCGAGAGTAGACGCACAAGCGCTTGCTTACATTCTTTTATAAACGTTATCATCCTCCCCCTCATAGTGTCTTATGAGGAGAGGAATTAACACTAATTACAAATTTAATAAAGAAAGCTCATGAAACACTCAGCAGCTGAATAATACTCATATTAATAATATGTCGAAGAGTAGACAACGAACGACAGCTGGATCTACTAATATAGTAACAGAATATAATTTGGAAGAAATGATCGAATATCTACGACGGAATCTGAATGCAGCATTTGATGTTCATAAACATCTTACTCAGATTACACAACCTCAGCATCTTAATTTTAATGCTCCTATCGAATCGCCCACACCTCAAACATCAAAACGCAACCTAGATACAAGTGATAATAATGGTATACAAGTATTGAAACAGCAACGTATATTGTCAAACGAAAAACAAAAAAACACGGATCGTATAAATTTATCGATAGCTACAAATGCAGCACATGTACCAGGTAATAATCTAGTATTATGTCAATGGTAACAACAACCAACAGAACAACAACAATATCAACTTCCATTCGAACAGTTGAAACGGGCAGTTTCAAATAACTTGTCATGTTTTCTAATTGATCGTATTTTCTAATTGAATTTAATCAAGATGTAAACTTGAAGAAAACACTCTCTGATCTTGCAGCAGCCGGTATAATTGAAGATTACTTCAAACAACAAAGAATGTTTATCAAGTTTTCTCTCGTCGGTCGTGTCGGTAATAAGTTAAAATTGGAAGTAAACGACAAAGAAACATATGCAACATTAATATTTACTGAAAAATAGCCAACACAAGTCAACAACATCAATATCATGGTAATTAAGCCGAAATTTATTCCCGGCTCCTTTGCTCTTGTTGTTCGCTATGTACCCCTTCAATACAATGATGAATATGTTAAAGAAGAAATAGAACAAAATATTCAATCATCCGAGAATGTGAGACACATTCAGTATTGCTTCCAACGGACAACAAACGATTTTCGATTCGTAGTAAAAGATTTAAGTGAATAGAATGCAGCCTTAAAACTAGGTCATATACACTCGTTAGGGGTAATTCGGATCAAAAATTAGAAAATCGATTTTGTTTTTATTCGCTCTCAATCATTGTACGTCGTAACAAGGTGATTTTTGCAATGCAAATAGA